AGAACGAGAATACTTTCCTGCGATATCAATCATGTAAATAATAAGATAAGTTTCGATTTTGAAACTATAAACTTGTGATTATATACAAATAACCGTATAACTAGAACATGAAGACAGAATATACCATTAATTAAGTTAATAGTGCAATTAAATAGTCACTCACACAAACATTCCCATCGTGTTGTAGAAAACTGATACGAAAACGAGTAGTGTTTGACTGGGGGTGGAAATCGGACGGATCAAAATTAGTACTTTCGGGAAAAATTCCAACTTTTTTTTAGAAGTGAAAAACTAATTCCAATTTTGTTCCAAAAGAAATCGGAAAAAATCAAAAATTGGCGGAATTCGGAAATTTTCAATTTTTTAGTAACCTAAACTGTGAAATGCATAACAATATTCATATTATAAGTGTAATCTTCGGAATTTTCGGAAATTAAAAACGGATTGGAATTCAGAATCTAATATACATTCCAATTCCGACAAAAACAATTCGAAAAAAAAATCAGTATATTCTGAATTCGGAACTAAAAATATTTTTCAATCAGTCTAATAAAAAATTCTAAGCATTAAGGCGCAGATTACCCACTATTAAACAGCCTAATAACAACAAAAAATAAACAAATTCAAACCCTTGAAAATAAATAAATTCAGAACACATAAAAATAATTTCCATTAATAAATATATATAATGACAATTAAAAAAAAGAAAACTAACCGCCGAAGCCACGGCCAGCGCCACCACCAACGCGAGGCATGATTTTATGTTCTGTGGGGAAAAAAGCGCCGATGAAACTCGGACGAGTGAAAACAATGAAAATGGTATTTTCACCGAAGCCCTTGATCTACACGCGCTATGTATATATATATATATATACTCGCACGTCTTCGTGTGACGTGGAATAGAATATGATGACGTGTCAAATTATTGACCCTAGATGATGTTGTTTGTAGATTTATTTTTTTAGCGAACTTGTCGAAGAAGTCAGTTTGATATTTACCCGGACCAATCTTTTTTGTTGGACAAAAGTGCCCTCCTAGTAAAAACAATTTTTTCTTTTTTAGTACAAGTAAAAACAATTAAACACAGTTAATTTGAGGTCTTGTAAGTAGTAAAATGGGTGAATTACAACCACCCCTGAGATATGGTTAAATTGTAAAAAAAAAAAATCTCATGTTTGGGAAATTACAACCACCCCTGAGATATGGTTAAATTGTAAAAAAAAAAATCTCACGTTTGGGAAATTACAACCACCCATCAACTATAAATTTGCTTACACGTTCATCTTTGCGGTGTCAAATTT